AAGTCCTTCTCCACAGGGCTGCTCTCTATCCCTTCATCCCCCAGTCTGTATCGATACCAGGGATTGCCCTGACCCATGTGCAGGATCTTGCACTTGGCCTTGTTGAACCTCATGAAGTTCATATAGGCCCACTTCTTGAGCTTGTCCGGGTCCCTCTGGATGGCACCCTGTCCCCCAGGCATGTCGACTGTACCACTCAGCTTGGTGTCATCCACAAACTGAGGGTGCACTCGATCCCACCGTCTATGTTGTTGATGAAGATACTAAACAGCACTGGTCCCAGTATGAATCCCTGAGGGACAACACTTGTCACTGATCTCCGTCTAAACATTGAGCTGTTGACCACTACCCTCTGGATATGACCATCCAACCAATCCTCACCCATCAAACAGTCCACCCATCCAATCCATATCTCTCTGATTTAGAGAGAAGGATGTTGTGGGGAACCGTATCAAAGGTGTTACGAAAGTCCAGATAGATGACATCCGTAGCTTTTCCCTTGCTCAGCGCTGTAGTCACTCCATCATAGAAGGCCACTATGTTGGTCAGGCAGGACTTACCCTTGGTGAAGCTGTGCTGGATGTCTTCAATCTCCTCCTTGTCCTCTATGTGCCTTAGCACAGCTAGGAGGATCTGTTCCATGATCTTCCCAGGCACAGAGGTGAGTCTGACAGGTCAGTAGCTCCCAGGGACCTCCTTTCTACCCTTTATAAAAATGGGAGTGTTAGACTATTGCAAACAGATGGAATTTTAGATAGTAGCCAGGAGGAACGGCTGGCTTGGGTTCAGTTGTTGGGTAGAAACACATCTGGGTCATAAACTGACAGCCATCCAAATGTAGAAGTAAAGGGGTTGCTGATAGTTGTAAAAGAAGAGTGAATCGAGTATATCCAGCAAGTTTGCCACATGGGTAAGAGATGTTTCATTGTCTCTTTTTGCCTTGCAGGAAGAATGCAAACAAATACTGGCTCGGCAGAAATCCAGTTCCCAGTCTGATTCGCATGACGATGAGATTTCCCCTCCTCCTCCCAACCCAGTGGTAAAAGCCCGACGCAGGAGAGGGGGGGTCAGTGCTGAAGTGTACACTGAGGAGGATGCTGTTTCTTACGTCAGAAAGGTAATGTGTTACCATCTGTCTGAGATGTACAGGACAATCAAGTGACTCATATTTTGCTCATAATTTGGACTCATGGGTCAGCCTTTAGGATGGTGTCCTCATGTCGGCGTATGCATGGCTCAAGCATTTTCACGCTCAAGTTCTTTTGCTGCCTCCTTGATTAAGTACTTTCCCCATCAATGTGGCTTCAACTTTCTCTGTTTCCTTTTTGAGATGCCCTGCTAATCTGTTTCCCCCTCTAACTGGGTCGGTAATTCTCAGCCATTTTCTTGGTATTCACAGACTCTGGCAGCTTCTGAGTTTTGTCAGACCTCACAGTTTTGGAAAGCAGCCTTTTCTATTGCTGCTTTTCCTGCTTTTTTTTCCCCCAAAAGTCACTTCTAGCTCAAGTTTTCTTCTAACCTAGGTAATTCAGATTCCCTAGGCCATTCAGGTATATGGTTCCCATGTTGGTTTGGTACCACCTAACCCATGCGTTTTTGGAAATCTGGTGACTATGTTTGGGCGATTTTATGTGACCGTTATCTTTGAAGAAATGCCAGTCCCAAATTGGGTAATATCTTCAGTAGTGGCACTAATTTGGGCTTCTCTCTTTTTCACGAAAATACCTAGCTATGTTATATCCTTGATATCTCTTAATAACTCTGCAAAATTTTTTTTTTAACTGTCCAAAGCTTTCAAAAGTTATTAGAAGACAGACATTACAATAGCATATGTCGTGTTTGTTTAGGGAGCGAGGCTAAAAATGCATTTCATAAGGTTGACAGATGCTACTAATGTGCTTTTGTGCACGCCTGGAGTAGCTTTAATGCAAAGAGCTTTTTCTTTATGGGAATACATTTTGTCAGTGACTGGTTTTTGGCAGAATACTTTTTGCCGTTGCAGTCAGATGTGCTTTTGTCATCCACTTATGATACAAGTTCACTGGCTGCTCTGGGGATTTCTGTCCCAAGAAACAAAGAATTAGGAGACCCTTTCATCCTAAAAACAAGTATGGCAGAGCACTCTTGTGGCAGTTAAATAATGCTTGCAAGTATACAGTAAATTTTAACAGTACTGTGGTCACGCTATTAGTGCACTGCACTGTTAAAAAACTTGTGTGATATTTTAAAAGCCACTTTCAAACACTTTTTTTTCTGTGTAGTTTGCAATATCCCCCTTAAAAACTTCCATGAAGAGATCACATTTGTCTCTGCTTAATATTGGCTCCATCTGACTCTTCTGAAAATCAAAGGAAATATTCCTTCCCACACCCCTGAGTAATTCTTTTATATTTATAATGGAACCTGAAGTTAACTTTGTTTTCTTCCTCTTTCAACGCTGATGCCAATAAGCCCTGACAGTAGCATGGGTAGGTAGGAATCAGGAGCAGCAATATTTTGTGTGTTCTGTGACTAGGGCTGTTATGGTTTTAATTTCCTTGGAACTGACTGAGCTTAAATAATAATAATTTAGGGGATGGTTTCTTGTCAAGCTACAGATGATGCAAGGGATATAGAACTAGCACTGGGTGTGTCAGTGCTTTGTCTTCTGCCATCAGCGAATGAATCCCATGGTGCATCCCATGGATGTGTGTTTGTGACAGAGATTTCTAGAATACAGAAATAAAGGGAGACACTGAAAGGACAAATTATGAAACTAATTTAAAAGTGTAAAAAGCAAGGCAAGGGTTGTGTTAGGCTATTGCAAACAGATGGGATTTTAGATAGTAGAAGAACTGCTGGCTTGAATTCAGGTGTTGGATAGAAACACATTTGGGTCATAAGCCAATTTAAAGGATCCCTTGAAGGGGTGAGCTATAGGATGAGTAGTGCTAAAGGCAGTGCCATGAATTATGTCACTGGAGAGAAAATCAAAGGAGATTTAGCTTTGTGATTTGAGCAAGCACATGGCATGCCTCCATTCTGAGGAACAGAAAGGAAGATCTTTGCGGAGGGTTATTTCATTGCTTCATTCCTGAAACTAGAGAAAGCAATATTTGTCAACACATCTGACACAACATGTAGTTAACAACTAACAGATTAGGAATCTTGCTGTAAAGAGGGTTATCGGCTTGAAGAGAACATTCAGTGATTACTTGGAAGAGTAATGTAAGAAATGGTCAAGTGATTCTTCACAACATTTGATTTTGGTCGGATGTCTGGTTAGTGTGACACCTGAACAATCGTTTTCTGTGTCCCTGCCCCAACAGACCCACTTTGGTCTCTGCCTTGTGGCTTTCATTGCTGCAGATTTAGACTGAGAAAGGCTATACTATCCCATAATCAGCCAGAAGGGTTGGAGTTGAATGTCTTAGTTATTTGATTATCTACCTGTTGTAGTTTAACCCCAGCCAGCAGCTAAGCACCATGCAGCCGCTCGCTCACTCCTCCCCCCTCCCAGTGGGATGGGGAGGAGAATCAAAAAAAAAGTAAAACTCATGGGTTGAGATAAGAACAGTTTAATAACTAAACAAAACTAAAATATGATAATAACAATAATAAAATTTAAAAATAACAAAGCCAATTACAATAATAATAAGGAATATAAGGAAAAAAAAAAAGAGATAAATAAAACCCAAGAAAAGGCAAGTGATGCACAATGCAGTTGCTCACCACCTGGTGACCAATGCCCGAGCAGCGATCTGCCCCCACTGGCCAACTCCCCCCAGTTTATATACTGAGCAGGACGTCCTGTGGTATGGAATATCCCTTTGGCTAGTTTGGGTCAGCTGTCCTGGCCATGCTCCCTCCCAGCTTCTTGTGCATCTCCTCGCTGGCAGAGCACAGGAAACCAAAAAATCCTTAACTGAGGATAAGTGCTACTTAGCAACAACTAAACCATCAGCGTGTTATCAACATTATTCTCACACTAAATCCAAACCACAGCACTGTACCAGCTACTAGGAAGAAAATTAACTCTATCCCAGCCAAAACCAGGACACTACCCTTTTGGCTCAGCAGCAGTAGGCAGAACAGCTAGGCTCGTCTTAATAGTGCAAGAGTTCAGGACTGCAGTTCAATCCAGGGTTTGTTTGATAGGGTGAAAACCAAGAATAAGATACTGGCAAAATGCTCATTTTATTTAATGTTGAGGAATTTGAACTTTTAGATAGATTACATTTCACTCTGATACAAATATGTGGTTTATACATATGTGTTCTCCAGGATGAGGAAAGGAAACTACCTACAAGTCAGCATATGTAGTAACTTAAATAAGACAGAAATGCTATTTCTGCCATTAGCAGATGGGAAAGATAAATGCCCATTATCAGATCTTTTTTGTTCAGTAATTAAAACAGGCAAACAAATGCTGATTTTCAGATTGGAGTAAGGTTTATTTAACATTTAAACTTTTGCTAGGCTTGATTCTGTCCTGTTGTAATGAACTATTAAGGAAAATCACATTTCTAAAGTCAAAGAACATTTTTTTAAGTTATAGCCTTGTTACAAATGTCTCGTGTCTCTTATAATCACAGTCTCTAACCAACAGAAGATGATGTTTGGCCAGTACAGAGATACAGTGTCTTTACTAATATTTTACCAAAATGGAAAGCTTAACTTGCAAAAGTCTTGTAAAAAAGCTTCACCCAATATAAAAACATACTCCTGAATTTCAACATATGTTTTTAGCACATTAATGTGCAATAGGACTTTTGCCATCTCTCCGATTAACAAGTAAAAATGCCTCTTCATTCTCAAATGCAAGTCCTTCTTGTCTGCCATGAAGCAAAGGCACAGGATTTTGACCCAAGTGGGCCTCTCAGGGGCTTGGTTCCATATACCACAACTAGTACTGAAAAGTATGGTTTAATCAACACATCTTTACCTTTTACCTAAAGAAATGTTGCTTGTTGCCTGATTTTACAGGTAGGTTGCTTCTGACATTGTTTGTGGGGGAAGGAGGATATGAAATATGTTTTCCTCAGTCCAAGAGTTTTGAAAGGAGACTACACAGCTGCCAGTACCTGCTAATTATAGTATTTTATGGATATCCTTCTCCCAACTCATTCTGGAGCTTATATTTCTTTCTTGGTTGTCATATTGAGAACATAAATTCTTATCCTCACATTATAAAAAGTATAATTTATTACTTTCTTAGTGGCTTTATATTATAGCCTAAACCTGTCTCACTGTGTGAAATCAAATTGCATCCATTATCTTGAATAGTGGAATTTTCTATAGATAATCAGATCTGTGAAGAAATACAACCAGGCATGTAATTACCCTTTGTTCCTTTCTCTATAGGTTATTCCAAAGGACTATAAAACTATGACTGCTCTGGCAAAGGCCATCTCCAAGAACGTGCTCTTTGCTCATCTTGATGACAATGAACGAAGGTATGAGGTGCTTTATGATGGAAAGGAATCTAGAGCTTGACTCGAGGACAAGAAATTATATTAAATTTTAACTCAGGGATCAGAACCACTCTCACTGATGCATTTGAATCATACTAGATGCACCCTCACACACAGGGTTTTATGACAGAGGTTAAAATCACAAGCAAAAAAAGGGCAAGAACAGGTTAGAATGTGTTCAGACATTTTTAGTATTTTCAAATCAGCTCTTCCTGATGAACTTTATTCTAGGTTACTTAAGGAATTGGCTAAAACAATCTCAGAAGCATTTGTAGTTACTTCTGAGAACTCAGGGAAGACAGGTCAAGTGCTGGAAGAGTGGGAAAGAAAAAGCATAATATCTATAAAGAGGTAAAAGAGAATTATGGGTAAATTATTTTGTTCTTTGAAAAAATGGAACAAACAAGTTATGTGTAAGTACCTTAAGAAGATCAAGGAGTTCAGTATCAGACAATGTGACTTTTAAAAACTTGAAAATGTCTTTCTACAACTGAGTAGCAAGTCTTGTAGCTAAGGAATGCGTAACAGAGGCCAGACACCTTAACTTCTGGTAACATTTTCGACATTAATGTGCACGATGGTTTCATAAACAATCAAGGGAAACATATCTTCAGTGAAACCACTATGGACTCTATGCAAAACCCATTGGATTGCCATACCAAATAGCAGTTATCTATGTTCCATCATTCTAATGAAAAGGTATATTGAAATGCGGGAAGGCTTGGTCTGATTTTCATCTTTATTGTCATTAGTGACCTCAGTGCCGGAATACGGTATGAGTGTTGAACTTTTAGATTAAGTGAAGATGGGAAAGGCTGCTAAAACATTGGGACACAAGGCTAGAATTCAGAATTATGCTGACAGGTTGAAGAAATGTTCTAGTAAAAGATGGATTATCACTGAGCCAAGGGCAGAGAAGTGTACTTGGGCAGGAAGAACACCTTCATAACTGTAAGACGGTTTTGCAAAACTATATGGACCTTACCGTGAATCATGGTCTGAACATTAATTGCTAGTGTCAAGCTGTTTTGAAAATACTGACGTTTTGCTGGGCTAACTAAACAGGAGAACATGCAAGACATGTCCTGGTGTTGGAAAGATTTCAGCTGTAACAGTGTCCAGTTTGGGCACTGCACTTCAGGAATAAACAGTTGGAGGAAGCTCAGGGAAGAGCAGTGGGTACAATCATGGATCTAGATAACATCACTTCTGAAGAAAGAATGGGATTGGTTGGCCTGCAGAAGAAGAGTCAGGAGCAGAAGGATGTGATAATAGCTTATAATTGTGTATGAATAATGGCATATGAGGAATAAACTGCTGTGTGTGCCAAAGGGTAAAGAATAATGGATTTAAAGTGCAGTAGGAAAGAGTCAAGTCAGCTACTAGAAGGAGGTCTCTGACTGCTTGAGTAGGTTGTGGAGTCTCCACCACTTGAGGCCGTTAAGAACAGATTAGACTACGGTCTGCCAGGAATGACATAAGCAGTGTCAGTTCTGCCTTGCAGCAGATAGGCTAAGTGATGTCATGAGGGCCTTGCCAAGCCTACTTTTCTGTGCTTCTGTGGTTAGAAGGGACAAAGACTTTGTCTACCCTCATGTTTTTAGTGCTGGCAGAACAGCAGCAGTCCTTGGTGGGGCTAGTCAATGGTTTCAGTCAAAGCACGTTCGAAGTGTGCAAATTTTGCTCCCTCTTGCAGACATTTACACAGTTTAATTACTTTGCAATCCTAATTATTATGATATTACGTTAGCATGCAGATTTCTGGCATAATCAGAAGAGGATTAACTTTGCGCATTTCTAGCTTTTTCACGCACAAGAGAAAATTCTTGTACAAAACTGCTATAAATCCTAAGTATACCATCCGCATGCCAACATGACAGGCACTGAAAGGATAGGTTTTAGGGCTGGAGAAGGGACATTTCAGTAATATCTTATCAGAATACAGTGAGGGAGAAGAGCTGAAAGAAAAGTGCTTTTTCTTGCACTGTGCTGTTTGTACGTCATAGTCATGGTCTCTCCTATCCATTCCCCATGTTCCATTTACCTCCGTCAGCCAGGCTGTCCTGTTACGGATATATGTTAGGAGTGAAGAGATGTGCACGGATTCCCATGTGTGTGCTGCAGATGGGTTGTAGACTGTCTGCTTTTGCAGTCCTCAGGCTTGACCAGGTGTACACTGCCTCTGCTGTCAAAAGATGTAGAAGCTTCTTGGTTTCTGGCTTGTGCACTGGAGCATATTCAGCTATATACCATCTCCCTTGCTCAGGGATGCATCTAGGTGCCTCATTCAAGCTTCATGTCGAGCATGGCAAGCTATTGCTGACATTGGGAGAAAAAAAGGAACTCACAGAAGGACGCATGCATTCTGATTTTGCAGACAGGATTGCAATGAATGAATAAATTGTTCTCTCTTTGCATTTTACTGAGTTCACTCTTGACATCATCCTGTTGCCCTTGTCTGGTTTTGTTTGTCGAGTGTGGAGAAGTCGGCAGGTCAGAGCATACCATTGCCCTCACTCCCAGTTTGCATCTTGTTGATGCAGATAGGTAGTTCAGTAAAGTAAGTGGTATATGACTTCATTTGGGTTCTGTCCTCTTGGAATGGTGGAAAGCTAGGTGAGGTTATTTCATTTCCCGTGTGGTGGTGGTGGTGTTTTATTTTACTCAGTGCTTTCTGCACTGAAGACAGTATCATTGTTTTGTTTCATTTCGTGGTTGACCATTAGCCAAGATGTAGGAGATGTTCAGGTGGGGGAGGGATGAACTAGCAGGGCTTAATTCCTCATTTACAGTGGATGACTTTTACAATTTTCCTTCTTCTTTGAAAAAATATTTATGTTAGTCTGCTCTATGGCTGTGCAGTCCATGTGACTTGTGTTGCACTTGCTACTTGGCAGCTGTGAAGGTCTTTATGTCTGACATAAACCTTTATTTATAAAGGCAGTGTGTGGCAATTTATTTCTGTGTCAGATATTGCATGTGAATGAATGATTAATTGCATGAGAAGTCATACTAAAGTTAAGGTAAACAAGTATCTTTTTGCACTGGTGTCTGAAATACTTTTGTTCAAGTCTTATTTTAGATAGCATCTTTTCATGTGCCATGCTTAAAAAAGGATTGTCATCTATCTCATGCATGCACACACACACATGCACGCAGTCTCTGGTGTAAAGTTATACTGAAAAGTGCAATAAAAGTGAAACTGTAACTGCGTCAGTACTAAAAGCAGCAGAGCTAGTTATCAGCAACTTTTACCAAGATGTTCATTTCCAGAGTCACTAATATTATAAAGAACAGTGCAGCTCTGCAAAGTGGTGAGGCAGTGCACTGTTTTCTCATGAGACATTTCCATGGGCTTCAAGAAGATCTTGATTAAACTCTGGATTAGGGTCCTGGTTCTCTCAAAGCCAGTGGCAAAATGCCCATTATCTGAAGTGGAAATGTGCTTTTGACTGTAAAGGAGCTGTTGTTCTCATTTGCAAAACCAGGCATGTGTGGCTTTTTGTGTTTCTGCACATGTGCACCTGATGTATGTTTTATATGTGTCCTCCTTTGTCTAGGGCTGGTCTGTAACATTATCGAAATTTTTTTTTAATTGATGAGAAACTAGCTGTAAAAAGTTAAAGCAACAGCGGGGCTTCACAAAATTAATTTCTTGTGTTTTAATAGGTATGGTTTGATTTTGATTGTTTATTAGTATTGCACATGCAGCAAAAATACTGGACTATTCAAAATTTCTGTGAAATACTCACAGGCAGGGTAAAACTTTTCCCCCGAGCGGTGGGGAAAAGAGGGATGTTAAGAGAGTGATGGGCTTAATGATGAACTAAACAGCTTAGTGAGTTGCAGAGAGTACATGTATGTGTATCAATGTGCCTACCTTTGGACTCATCCTTGTTTCTTGTCTTGTTGTCAACCCAGAGTCGGTTGCGGTCTTCTCAGAGCAGCCATATGTCATGTGTGCTTTGATGGAGTTTGCTTCCTTGGCTGGGATGTGTGTCAAACGCCATTCACTTTGTTTCAGGCTTTCATGTATTTACTCTGCAGTTAGGATGTGTTTAATGCCTGGGTAGTTAAGCTTGGATTTTGACGGTGCTGTTATGTCATCCTGCAGGTCCCTAGGCACATGTGCTCTAACTTCTCTCTCCTTTCCCTCACTCCATATGATGACACATTGGCTGGCTTAGGTTCACGTCGGGGTTTTGCCCTTCGTACTGTGTTTCTTCCATACTCCACTTCCTTCATGACTCCACTCAAAAACTCTTGGAAGAGGCTGCTCAAAGGGTTTTGTTAGGTGGCAGTGGAGCATGTTAGTTAAGCTCACATGTGACTGCAGTGACATTTTCTGGAAAAGCATAGTTCATGCTGGTGTGCAAACATCACGCAGAAGCTGTGGAGGTGGCCACCAAGAGGTCAGTTTTCCCAGGCAGAGAGTGATCTAAAGACCTGCTAGTTATGACCACTGTGAGATCATCAGCTCTGGTCCCAGCTTGGTGCTCACCAAAGCCTTACGTGTATACGTACAGTCGTGCAAAACAGCTTCTCGTGTGAAAGCTCTGAAGTTGCTCCTTGCAGCGTGGAACAACTTCTGATACAGAGGACAGCACTGTGCAGCGTGAGCACTCAGAAGAAATAGGAAGTGTTCTGCAGTCTGCTCAAGGATGAACAGAGAAAACATCAGTGGAGCTGGACCTTCAGCCAGGTAAGAGGCATTCACCCACTCTTTCATTATAGTGGGGAAAAGTGAAACGACAACATTAACTGTGAGGGGGTTTTGCATTTTGAACATAAATTTATTTTTTATAGATGATATTCTTTGCAACAGTCTGTCTTTAACATCAATTGAGGGCAAAAGCCATCTTATTTCTCTTCTCTCTCTTGCACTTGTGATCCGAGAGGAAGTCCCAGCAAAAAAAAAAAAAAATTAAATTAAATCCTTGATTATAGCATTTGTACCTAATAAAAAGAACTCCAAGATGAAC